ATGTTACTGTTGGCACAGAGTGCTCCATATTCAGTGGCAGTGCTGTAACTCAGTTAACATTTGTCTTTGCTGGATGGTACATGCTCAAATTCACACACAGTGAAGATATTATGCTGACTATTCTAACCATACCCATCTTACCTACATATGAAATGCTAATCTTAACCACAAAGTCACAACCTAGAGTGCAGAGAAGCACAAAATGAAAGTATAAAAATAAACATACTCCTATACCATGAGAACGCTCGCCTGCAGCACTGACATTTCACTGTGATGTCAGTCCCTGCACGGGGCTCATCCTCATACCCTGACAGCTCCGGCTTGCACACCAGTAAGTATTTGCAGACAGAGAGACACAGTAAAAACCAAGGTCCACTCTGAAACAAAAAAGTAGTGAGGACACCACACACGACTGCTTGCTAATCCACCCAACCATTTAAGGCCCCCTGAGTTATAATTCTCTCACTCCACTGAGTGCTGAGATCGGAAAGCTGCGCTCAAGGGCACCTGAAACTTCTCAGGGTCAGGGTGTCTGGTGGGTGAGGGTCCTGTGTGACTGTGTATGTGTGCTCCCTGTGGGCTGTATGTACAAGTACAGACTTGCTTGTGGTGATCAGTGTTAAAATAAACAAAGGTTTGAAAATGTACACCGAGCAATTTCACACACGATTCGATTAATTAATTACAGTGTAAAATTCACCCCTGTTTATGAACAAGTCTGCTCTTCTGCCCTCTCAACATTTTAAATTAATTACAAATGTATTTGTACTAAAAACACTGGGGTGCCTTGTTAGGCAAACACACAAGCACTTCTTATTTAATATGTATGGCATATATTACACTGAGTGCTGTACATTAGGAATGCAAAATCATGACATCACAGGGGTTCTAGCTAATTAGCCGGAGATGTGATGCTGACTCTGTCCCCTAGCGGCTTGTGCTCCTCGGGACCACAGTCCTCGACTGGGGGCCGCTCTTTGATCCGTGGATCCCACGGTCTGCTCACAACTACCCGACATCTGCAATCCACATTTGTGCGCCTTTTGTGCATGTGACTGATCCAGTGTGTTCGTCATTTGCTGTGAGTTTAGGAACAGGTATATTAAGCTCAGAAACATTTCAAGTTTGACTACTGATAGTTGATGTTGTGTGCAGACTGATTTTGGCATTACTGTTTCAGTGCAAATAACAGGACAGTAATCACATAGTAATCAACTTTTAAAATCAAAGCTGTTGCCTGTTCAACCTCAAAGTGATCACAGCCTTTCAGAGCAGCCTCTATATTGAGACTGGCAGGATGTCCCAGTTCTAATTACTATGTGCTAATACATCATGTACTAATGCACACTGTTTTGGCAGACAGAGTACACAAGAAGTCAGTGTAGTGCACTGTTTTGTACTAACGAGGAATGTGGGATGTCAATCAAGCTGCAGCTTGTGAACACAGTTTTAAATAAATGAGAGCTGTTTGTTTTTCAAAGGTATTTTTACTTGTCAAACACAGGGTATAACCAGTAACATTGCTAATGCTTATGTTTCATATAGTTTAGGTGTTGGGCAACCAGGACACTTCAAACAATGATGACCAATGGGCTCTGTGACGCCTGTGTTTCTCCTTCTGTGAAAACCAGAATATGTGCCGTGAGCCATCATGTTACTCCAGCTGTCAGTAACTCATCCATTTGCCGAGTGCATTACATTGTCCTGCATCATCACATAAAATTTTAGGAGACATTTTTGAGTAGACTTCAGTTTGACATTTTGTAGTGTGAGTGCACTACTTCTGAAATCACAGTATAAGATGTGGAATAACTAGATATATGCAACTGGGACAACTCCCTAAGCTTTGTGTCTGTCAGCATATCTGTCTTTGTTTTTATTTGTACTTGTCATTCCCAAAGTTACTGTAGAAGAAGTAGAAAGGCTTCCACATACTGCGAACTGTCTCAGGGAGGTGCTGGAGGAAAGTCTACAGCCTGTAGTAGAGTTACTAAAGCATTGTTCACACTTGCTCTATTGAAAATTTCATATTTTATTGCATAGATTTTAGTCAGTCTAAAAAATGTTTATGACCAATGACCATTTAAATGTGAAATCTGTGATACTGAAGCCTCTATTCTTTTTAATTGTACCATTCAGAGTTGTGGCACACTCATAAAAGAATTATAACACCACCTCAGGATATGGAACTGCTGGAAAATGATGGCCGCTCATAACTGACTTATTAACTATTTATGCATTCAGTGGGAAATAAAAAGAGGATAATACGTAAGACATCATTGTGTGGGTGTAATGACGTCGGGTATTCAAAGAAGATATGGCTGCTGACCTTCTGCACCAAGACAGCTCGAGCAGAGGAAACTTGGTCCGGGAGCAGAATGCGAATGACTGACAATTTGAATTTGTAATTAGCCAAGAAAGCTGTACTTTGGACCTTGGCTTAGTCCTCTGATGTCTGGAAGTGCTGATTGTGTCTGGGCGCTGTATTTTAATGCACACTGGAGGACATGTTTATATTATGTTTGAGGCTATACAAGCTGAGCAGGAGGATGGGCTAGTTATAATGTGAGTGTGTCTCTGAAGCCCCATGCTCAGAGGTTAGATGGCCTTTTTACTATTCTACCTGCAGTAGCCCTCTATGCTGTTTTCAGGAGAAGTGTTTCACAGTGCCAGGACTTGTCTCATCCTCAGTTCTGTCAGTCCTGTGTCCTTGAGTCCCCACGTTGTCAGCTCCTGGGTCCTTCTCCTCTCTTTCTCCCTGTGTTGCCCTCTCCATCTCTCTTTTGCTTTATAATGTAGCCATGGTGATGTCTCAAGGACCCACTTCCAAATCCGCACGCACATTCACCCGGGGATTCACAGAATGGATGGAGAGCAGAGTGCAGGGGATGTGTGTGTGGTCGAGCAAAGTCAGCCTTGAAGCAACTAGCCCAAACCAAGAGAATAATAGGAGTGCTCTCAGAGGCAGAGAGAGCTGGAGAGGAGAAGGCAGTGAGGGGGTCTGCCTCATTTGCACTGAGTCCTCCCCTCTTTACGTACCCAGCTGACAGAGATATTTTTATCAGCCTGGCACACACAGTGCAGAAAAGGAACACATTTATTTGTAACAGCACCCTCCCAGCCAAGGACAAGATCTCAGCAGGCTAGAACCTAGCTGTCATTTTGCACTATCAGAATAGAAATCATTCATTTTTATTTATGCATCTGCCTTGGCACTATCGCGTAAAAGTGGCGCACAAGGCCTTGTCTACTTCGTGTCCACTGAAGCAGAAAACAGAAAAGCAAAATGTGCTCCCCAAGGTCTGGAGCCGTCCTGTCGTTTTAAAGTCTGGATATTTCTCTCTGCTGACGTGCAGACATTTGTATTCTTTTTTTTTTTTGCAGTTTTCATCCCCTTTATCTTTTCATTTCTCTGTTTTTTTCCTTCCTTTCCTGTGGAAATGTGTCTAAAACCTTAGTGGTTAGAAGATATCAACCTGCAGATTCTAAAAGGAAGGTTTACCCTGTTTATAAACACTGGTGTGATGGAGGTTACATCTGTTGATCCAAACCTAATTAGAAGTCAGCAGGATGACACAAGTGTGCATGAGAGTGACCAAGTGAGAGAGTGGAAGCATGAATATGCTAAAGATGTGTCACTGGGCTGCTGTGTTGGCATGTCAGCATTGCTGTCTCTAGGGTATTGTCTGTGATTTACGATATTAGAGCCGCCCCAGAGTCTCAGACATCAGCTGATGTGCATACAGTGGAGAAATAAAAACTTTTCCAGCATTATGTTTTGTTTTAAGATGAATATGAACAGGATTAGAACAGTCTAATCCTTTCCTACAAAGGGCTCATGGTTCCAGTTGGCTTGAGTGACAGGTTTTTTCTTTACCAGGAGAAATGTTGAATGCACCTAACGTTAAAGCAGGAAATCCTCAAATGCCTTGTAAATCCCCTGCTCTGAATAGTATATTTTACATGTGCAAGAGCTGGTCCTGGCAAGGAAATAACTGCAGCAGGGCTTCATCTCTTTGCAGTGACACAGATACTGCAGCGTGCCAAGCTGACAGACAGATGATCCATTGCAGGCGTTGTAATTGAAAACACAGAGAGGGGGTGGACAATTAATCTCTTTTTCTCAGCTTGCTTCAAATTTCCATGGACAAATACCTTGAAAAGCAGATAATAGATAAGAGTGTTATTGATTAGTTGGGGTGGGAGGAGAAGGGAAGAGGTGCAGAGGTTCTCCATCACTACTCTCTCTGGCCGTGGCTGCATCTAAATAACCTGCAGAGCAGGATAAACAGGCATATCCATCATGGGACGGCTGGCACGAACAGTGATGGATGCTTCCACCCTCTGCCGCACCTCTCATTCACAGTCAGTGATAGGAAGTGACACTGGCCCTCAGGAGAAACACCTGGCTCAAACTGAGCAGGAAAAGGCCTGTGTTAGCTCTGCTGTGATGGGAGGACTCTGGGCAGTCTGTGTATGTGAGTCTATGAGTTTGTAGAACTATCACTTGTCCTCCATCCCCTTGTCTCTTTGAGTTTGTAGGATTATCGATCTTGATAGATCCTGTTTGTTTTGTCAAAGAGTAAATTGGTTTTGTGGATTTGTGTGACTGTGTGTGCATCCATATATATGCTTTTCTGTGCTTGTGCATAAATTGATTTGGGTATATGTTTCTCTGCTATTTCCTTGCCCATGCACGATGAGCCAAATCCCCTGTGCTGCCTGAACCCAGTGAGCAAGCGTGTCCACGCCAGCTCGCCTCAGAGGTGCCAGCCTGATGGATACAGTGTGTGTGCCAGGCTGTGCCTTCCCTCCCCACCCCTGCAGCATGAAGATTGATCCCTCATTCCCTCCCATTCCTTTCTCTCTGACTCCTCTGTGTGCCTCTCCCTTTATGAGACTGTGAATAGGTGAAGCTCACAGGCTCCAACAGATGGCCGGAGCTACACTGTTTCACCGTCTCTCTCTCACACACACATTACTGCCCTGTGAGAGAGAGGAAGAGGCAGAGGAAATGTGACAAGGAGCAAGAGAAGAAACAGGAAGCAATATGAGAAGAAGAAAGATCAAAACTAGTGAAAACCAAGACGGAGAGAGCTAGTGAGGACTAACACACACAGAGAGGAAGATGGCAAAGGACAGGAAACAGTAGGATATCAGCAAGAATCTGCTAAAGAAGAGAGAAAGGGAAGCAAGAGACAGAAACACAGCTGAAAAAAGGAGTAAGGGTAACATTGAATTGTAGATTAAGGGAGTCTCACTCCTCCCCCTTTCCCTCCCTCTCTTATTTATCTCCTGTGAAGCCACACCTCCCTCCTTTCACTTGTCAGTGCATCTATAACAGTGAGCTGTCTGCACTGGGCTGTGTGGGGGTGAGACGAGCTCCTCACTCTGCCAGCACAGGGGACCCGATCTGAACGGATCGGACAGTACTGGATGTTAACAGACTGCCCAGAACAGGTGTGTGAATTAGCCTTTGTACGTGTGTGTTTGTGATAGATGACAGAGGGCGGCATGTGAATCCTTCAGTTCCTCCACAGGACTTGCTTCCACAGTAGTGTATCTAGAAGGTGTAGCTTTGGAGCTTTGCCCTACTTTACACTTGAATGCTCTGGTGTGTTCTGTTCGCCTCTGAGATTTATGCATGGAATCGCTAACGGTGGTGCTCATCTGGGTAAAACAGATGAGACCGCTCATCCATCGGATGCACTGGAGTCTTCACATCTGGGTTTGAATGAGAGCGGTGTGGAGAGGAGCTGCTGTTTGTCTGCTGGAAGTTGATAGTTTTAAGGATGGACCTGGCTGTCGTGCCGTGTTTAAGAGATGTTCACATTTTTATACATTTTATAGTACACTGTTGTAGAACAGTTGTAAATATTGCATTGGAGCTGTGTTGAAAATCTGTGAGAATCCACTTTAATCAGTGATCAAGAGAGTTCTTTGGTCCGTCTTGGTAATGAGTCCGTGATTATTTCTCTTCATCCTTCTGTTTCACAGTCTGTGGTGTTTTGAAATGTGGAACATTCATTGTCTCGGCATTGCTCTGTATTTACCCAACCAAACATAATCCTGACTGTTGCTGAGTACTGTGTGGAGGTTTAGAAATTGAGCAAAAAACAGCTACAACTGTGAACATAAGACTTTTTTTTCGAAGGCAGGGCTGGTTCAGTTCTGAATTGTTGATCCTGTGGGGACCTTTTATAGAAACCAAGGAGGTATCTACTACTCAGCATTCATTCAAGAGTCGCCATTTCAACAGTTGCTCCTAAAGAAGCTTGCACGGCTTCAGTCTACAGGCTGGTCCTGAGGAATGTACTCATTGTCAGTGTTTTGTCAATATGTTTATGGGTCAAAAGGCTGTGTCATCAGTGGTTCCAGCTAAGAGCAGCGGAGTGGTGGGTGGGGGCGACCACTGACCTAGAGGCTGAAATATTTATGACAGAGACAGCTGATGCCCCGCGCTGTTTGTAACGATATGAGTGGATGGATGAAAAGAAGCCACAGAGATCTGTTCTTTAAGCATTCATTATTTGCCACGATGCACTAAACCCCACTTCAACTGGCCTCTTTTCTCGCTGAGATGCCAGTGGACTGAAGGAGGATGCTCCTGCTTAGTCTACCTGTCAGCTGGTCCCCAGGCACGTTAAGACTGCAGCTGCATGCCACACACTCTGCTCACACACACACACAGGCACAACCCCTAGATGCATGTAACATTTTGCTCAGATTTAAATTGCACACACTAAGCTGTAATTGCATGGCTCCACTCATTAATGTAATGGGATGTGCACATGAAATTACAGTCACTTATTTGCACCGCATTAATCCAAACAAAATGGGTGCACTCACACTGCACACATTTATGCTCATGCTCTAGTACACACACACACTACACCTACATTTTATTTTGCTCACATCTTTCTCAAATCCCTATTTTTCCTTCTTCAGTTGTTCACATACTCTTTATTTGGACCTGTGAACGCCACACACACGATCAGTGGGAGCGATGACCTTGAGACCTGTTGATGCTGTTTGCAGTGGCCGTGCTGTGAATACATAAGGGGTCTTGTGGGACTTCCGGCAAAAATGTGGCACTTGACATGCCGTTTGTAAAAATGGCTGGAAAATGTGCAGCTGAAGGGAGATGCTAGCAGGAATATGTATTGTATGCTAATGACACATGCAGAGGCTGTTGACTCAGGCTGTTGATGAAAGTAGAGGCCACTATTGGGAGGAAGTGCGATTGATAAACACACTGTCGACGCAGCCGCATGGCCACAGGGGTAACGTGGTGACAGGTGGCAGATGACAGCAACCAAGATGACGCCGCTTGACAGCCTGTGTGGGCCCGTAGGCAGCCTTGGGCAGCACCGGTGTCTGCTCATTTTGCCACTGATTTGACCTTCTGTGGTTAGACATAGCACGGGTCCTAAAGCTAATGTCTCCTATGAGCTTCATTCAGCTTTGTCAGAGCTGCAGCGGCTTCCACCCTCCCTCTGTGTGTTACACGTCTACAGCTCATACAGCACCAGTTGGTGCACTCCATCCATTTGTGTACATGCACATTTTAAATGTGCACATAATTAAAAATGAACATAAAAATCTGAGAAGATGCAGTAAAAGCTGATGAAAACAAATGTTCCAATATGGCTTGATGTTACTGTACCTACTGCTTCTTCTGCTGTAGCCAAACATTCGTGCCGTGCTGCCAGGCACCATTATGTGTCTTATCTCCTACAGAAACACTGGCTGAGTTTCACAGCTGTGCAGAACTGTAATATTTCTTTAAAAAATAAGCACAAAATGCCACGTAAGGTGAAAAGCAGTAATTAAATGTCATGGTGTATCAGATTTATCAGTGCTTGATTAATTATGTAATCAGCTTCAGTAGATAGTATCTATATCGACTAAATCAGAGTATAATTTTATTCTTTGAATGATTTTATTTAGACATAGTTTCATTGTACAAGTTGGAAACATTACTAGTGTTGCATTGCTCCTCCACTCACACATAGGTCACCTTTAGCACAGAAGTACCCTGACAGTAAATGGCACTTTATTGTACCCTCTCTGAGCCCATGTTCATCTGTATGTGTGAGCTGCTGTTAACAGGTCCTGCGATGAGGCGGCATCAGGAAATCAGCGTGTAAATCTCAACGCTGCTGCTTGTCTCCACTCTTATGACAGAGAGGCAGAGGGGCTCTGTGACGATGCCTCTCAAACACTCCTCTCTCAACAGTGTGTCGAGAGCCAAAAGTAGTCTACGGCTGATAGGAGCAAACAAGGAGAAGCATGTTGGTGTGTGCGTTTGTGTAAGTGCATGTGACTGTGCCATATCAGCTCAGTATACTCAGTGGGTGTAGGTGTGATTCCCAATGTGCAGACAGCTATTCGACTGATGTATTGAATGCAATCAGATTTCTTTCTCTTCCCTCTCTATGGCTGAGCTCCTGCAGCAGAGGAGCTCCTTGGGGAAATGTAATTATACCCTGCTGGCCACAGAGTAGGGCTTTGCTGCCCTATCTGTCTCAGGGGAGACAGCAGCTAGAGGCTCCTTCCTACCTGCACTATGAAACAGCAGAGATGTCACCAAAGCAATGAGATGTCCAGATTGTGTATTGAATCCTTGCTGCAGTCTCCTTTAATCGGCTTTTAGCTTGTTAGGTATTTTTAGTCAGATAGATATTGGATAGATACTTTATGTATTAGAAATGTTTAGTGGAGATAGGATGTCTAGTTAGACGGTGAAATGCTTAGGCCTGCTTATGAGTTTCTACAGGGTACATCTGGTCAAGGATA